CAAAAAGCTTGACGAGTGTAGTAGGTATTCGTTTTACGGGGCTTTTGCCGTAGATGATCGCGTCCTCCCCACCTCGCCACCCCGATTCTAACGATATTCAAATTCCTCCCGATACCGTCGGACAATGGAAGAAAGGACAACTTTGGTTATTTTTTCTTCGCTGGCGGCCTTCCTGAAGATTTTACCGATACGCATTTGGAAGAATATAGTCATGTGGGGCAAGAGTGCGCATTTTTTTTCTATGGTCATAAAATTGTAATAATTGTACAAAATAAATTGAAATAAAATTATTTATTTAAAGGATTTATTGATTTAACAATTACGTAACATGAAATTCAATTTACTTAATTGTAATTAAATAAATAAAATAAAATAAATGTTAGTCAGAATGCGCACACTTACCCCAATATTGGGGTAAACATGCGCAGCCCTGCGGGTAAGTGTGCGCATTTGTAATAATTTAAACCATAACTTGTTACATATAGTTACACCATATTAAATGTCATAAATATTATTTTTTATCAATACTTATCATTTTTTACTTCATTTTTTATATTTAAATATTAAATATATAATTTTTGACAAATACTGTTTAACTTGATTTTTATCGAGAATAAGGCTTAGAGTAGTTAACAGTTTTGAATAGAGATAAATTCAAATGAGATCGTTTTTAACGAATATGATAAAATGTTAATTATTAGAACATATATCACATATGAAAGCACCAGTTTCATAATGAGTGCACTGTTCATGCCACCAGCTATGACATAAGCTATATTTAATACAATCCTCTGTAGGTGGATCAACGTATTTTTCACCACACAGTAATCATCATTTTCCTTAAAATCATTAATATTTTCTTGACTAGCCTTAACTTTAACAGCCTTATCTTTGGTAGTAGTATTATATTATATTATATATTATTATATTCTTCTTTGTCTTTTTTTTAGAATTTTCAGTTTTATTTGCTCTAGCTATGCTAGTTGACGTGGGTTGTCGTAAATTCAAGTCAGGGTGCCTTTTCAAAAATCCATACACCAAATCACGTCCAGCCATTTTCGACTTTTGATTAAACCGATGAGGAATATGATTTATTTCAGCATACTCGTAGATCAATGTTCTTAGAGTTGTCATATTAAGACCATAATAGAGATCATCACATCTTTTTAAATAATTATATATTTCATTTTCTTGCTCACTTGTGAAAGTTGAAGTAAATCTTCCTAATTTTAGAGCAGTTGAATCAGATTTTAATCGCTTCCTGAGAGTACTCTCTTTCATTCCAACCTGTTCAGCTGCTTTTCTTTTACTTAAACCTTCGGCAATCAATCGCTTAGCAGCATCAAATTGATTACGGGTAACAACGGACCTGTGGAGCCTTCCGCTTGTAATTTCGAGGCATTGTAGTTTTTTTTTAAGAAATATATAAGTATAACCTGAAACAAATAAAAACGAGTGTCAATATACAAAGAACTCACTATCGGGGTAAAAGTACGCATTAAAATATGCGTACTCTTACCCTACAACCGTATGCGTACACTTAACCCTAATCGCCTTTACAGATTTAGTTTAAAATTACACATTTTTGCGTCATTCTACCAAGTTTTGATGTATAGCTGATAAAATTAGATATATAAACGAGCATAATTGGACATAATTAATACTAATTACCGCTACATAAATATAAAAGTATTTCAATTCTAAATTGGAAAAAATCGTAAGAATAATAACCAAAATTTTTACTTACCAATATTACTAAAACTACGTAATTTTGCCAGACAAGACTCTAATCTTTTGTCCAACGTCGTAGTGACTACTGAAGGCAGTTGATTCCCCTACTCTACTGTCAACGGTTTTATAAATAATAAGCCTGCGCACACTTGCCCCACATGACTCTATATTATCAATAATCAAAATACATATTTCATAATACATTTCGGAAGAGGTGGATTTCATAAAATGAAAAGTCAATTTAACACAATAACTCATATAACTTTCGGCAATATATAATATTTCGACAGATCAACTTAATAAATATATGTGTTCATAAAATGACTCTTAGGTTTATCATTGGTCAGTTGACTTATGTATTTTATTACCTAAACCTATTTTTTTCAAGAGTTTGCCGCGCAGTTCACACATTTTGAACTAAATATCACAATAACATTATATTTTTCTCCACACCGAAGACAATCTGTGTCTTTTTCCTCTGGTCTATTATCAGTCACTCATCTGTAAAATCTCTATTTTTATATTTTTGCCCTTTTTAATCTAAAGTTCAATTAATTTCTCTGTTATTTTTTCTTCCTTCTTCTCGCGAGTTATACGTCAACGTAGTCTTAAATGTCTGTAAATTGATATTTTTAACACAATACATATCTGGGAAAAATTAGAAACCACATATAAAACAGATGATTAAAGTAAAAGTGAGATGAATTTAAAAATTTTTCACATATATTATTATTAAAATGGATCTCACTCGCTGGACCATTTTTCCCCGAATTATTGCATTTATATGTATACCTACAATATTAGTAAAAATAAGAATTGTTGACCACGTTTGCAAGTATATTTTGTATTTGTCACTTCAACCAACTTTTAATATTAATATAATATTTAATTTAAGATGATGAACATACATTTTTTATAAGTTAGGTGTTTAAAATTCAAGAGTTGGTTAAAAAATCGATTTCCAAAATTCATAACGAATATCGTGAACACGAAATGACAAATAACGAAATAAAGCCCTTTTGATATTTAATGGGAACAAGAAGAATATACACATGGCAATAAGAAGACACGTATCTTTTTTTTCAATATTTTAGTATATTCAAATTTATTTCAAAACTAACCAAAACTTTCATTCAGGAATGTAAATATGGAATATGGTATGGTAAAAAGCGTTTGCTTCAACACGCCCTGTTGTAAAGAAAGCTTAATCCGAATGTTATGTCCTATTTCACTCGAAGTTCGCGATCGCGCCAGGTGACAAGTTATGCCCACCTCGATAGATATTTGAAATTTGTATTTACAAAAAATAGTGAAATAACAAGGATACATTTTGAACAATTTTGAAGTAACGTGCACTTTGCGTCATTTTCTTTGTAAACAGCGATTAAATTTAACAAGATGTAGGTATATTTTGGGAAAATACTGCCGTAAAAATGACGTATCCAAACTTACTGACAATCTGTCAGCGCCCATGTTGGGTCTTCAATTCCGCCAGGTCATTGGGTAAAAACGAAATTTTTAATCTCGTGTGTTAAGCGGACCTTCTCAAAAAATTTCATAGTTGCTTCCTGTATTATCGGCATAGGCAGGGCCTCTATATCTCTATTAGCTATATGGATGGGAATAATATTCCGCGGGTGCTTCTAAATTTAACCCGCTAGTTTCCTAGAACATTAGACGGGCATTTTTTGAAAAAATGCTGCATCTGAACCAATTGATGAACTGTCAGGGGCCATGCTGATTGTTTAACTTCACTAGGGGTTATTGTTTGAAAACGAGATTTGAAATAGTCCCTTTCAGTTTTTTTACTCATAAGTATCATCAATATAGCATATATATCTAGTTAGTAACTATATGGCTGCATCCGCCTCAAGTTCCGATTGACTAGCTTAAAACTTTTGGAGGTGGTAGGTTTTTAATTGATGTGACGCATGAGGTGAAAGATGTGGAACTACATGGAGCAATTTATGTACCAGAGCGTTTAAGCTACCAAACACCTTGTAAAAGGTGCTATATAATTTATAACTAATAATTAATGTCCTACTGCAAATCAACAAATCTTAGTTCAATAATTAGCTGGTCCATCTCCTAGTTGATTTCTCTTAGTCAATGTAGGGCTAATAAGATGTTTCCTTTTATTCTTTGATCTTAAGTATTTGTTGTAGAAATATGAAATTATTAGTAATTTTCTTTCAATCCTTGTTTCTTGCAGATACTACTCTCGGACTGCTATTGTATTAAAATTAGCCTACGGTTAATTTTTATTTCGCACTGATGGAACGGAGAAGGTGTTGGGATTCTGTGGGTAGCATTGCACGTGGCAAATTGTTATCGTGTTCGATCTTAGTGAATAGATAGTGTCTTTTAGTGGTAGATTATAGGTCCTGTTTCTTGGTCACCCTGTATGAACTACGATTTGCAAACACGAAAACCAAAAGTTGGCCGCGCGATCAATGAATGAAAAAAAACACGCAAACAGAGCTGACTGATTGTACTAGTCGGTCCTAGAAAGTCATCTCGCGACATATGCGTGGCTGAATCGATCCGAAAGTTCTTAATTAACAGCGCTGGGCGCGGAGGCAACGAATATCCTTCGATACGTTAAAAAACGATCGAATTCGGGGCGAGCCGCATATACTTTGGCGGTCGCGATATCTGCGCTAAGATCAACCCGGGTCGCGATGATATTTCTTTGGACCTCTCGCGGTACACGCCTACTTGCAAATTAAAATATTATTTAAGCTTTGCATACGCAGGCACCACGCGTGATTTATCGCGGTAGGCGGCGCGCCATCTCACCTTTCGCTTCGTTTTCGGTGACGAAAGAAAAACCGTTGAGATTGGTTGGTCGCGTTTTTTTGATGGTCTGTGACGCGGGTCGCTTTAGGGAATAAAGATTGTTGAAAGGAAAGATTGTTTTTTTTTCAGCGATGAACATAACCCTCAAAAATGGCAGATTTTCAAAGAAAGTTCAGTCCAATTTTATATGCACGTGCAAATAGTCTGCTACGAAGTTTATTTTTTTCACTATTGTTTCAAATAAAAACAGAAATTAAAAAATTTACTTATCCTGCCATGTATTATGACGTTGTGGTACTGTGAATATCAAAATTAGTTACCGGAAAATTTAACCCTAAAATTTAAATTAAAACTTTGCAAACTTTGAAATAGTCTGGGCATAAAAAATGGGATACACTTTCTTATTGACCATATCCATAAATATAACCCATCTGTGGTGCCGGAGCTTTCATTTTCATTTCTTTTTTCAGAATCGGTGGTGTCATCCCCGAATACGCCTACGGAGAAGCAGTACGGTAAGTGAATGCGCGTTTTACAACCCCCCAATAGTTCCGGGAAGCTGTTTTTTGGAAAGTTTTCAAAATAATTGTCAACTTTATGGCTTAAAAAATACCGAATCCTTTAAGGCCATAACCGATCGTAAAAATAAAAAAATAGGTAGTTTTTCGACGGGGTGATTTTAACGATCCAGATTTATTGGCTCATATTTTCGTGTAAAGACGAGAAGTGGGCAAATTCGTACGCTAGATTAGAGCGGGCAGAATACAAAAGCCTGACAAATTTTAAACAGTAGGGATGTTAAGAATTTATTTTAATCGCCTACTGCTACTGCTGACTAAATATTAATATTTTTATCCCAAAAATGTCGCCAAAGGGGGTGGGTTCCACGTATTTTGCACATGGATATTTTTAATTTGTGGGCTAAATTAAACAATTCGCCGTTTACAGTCAAAAAAATGCTGCTTTTAAAACTATTTTAGGTTTTAAGTGCTAGAAGGTAATGCTGGCTTTAATTTTATCAGCAGTAATTTGACCCAATCCAAATGTATGGTATGTGCGTTCTAAATTTAATTTTATTATATAAAAAACGAAAAAAGGACGGCTAAAAGTTATCAACTATTAACAAATGCACCGGTAGCAAATCCACCCCGATTTCAACTTCGCAGGGAAAAATTTGTAAAATACAGTTGATTATCTATGCATTCACGAGACCTTTAAGACAGTCTCTAGCGCACGCTTTGGCTTGGGTAACCACGTGACGTAGAAAAATAGGTGAACATTGCTCCTCTGGTGTCGGGCAAGAAACACATCGCATGACTCGCGATGAACAGGAAGCACACTTGCGATTCTTTCATTTTATTATTATAATTTTGCTGCCTACCTAATTAAAACGGACACTTTTACAGGCCCGCGAGCGCTCATTAACCTTGCACATACACGCGTCTGTTTTTCGTACCTACGGAACTGTCAAAATTGTAATACTTTCATACAAATTTTCATCCGTCCACTAGCTGACAACATTACGAGAGAAGAAAGGACGTCATAACCTGGAATTATTTTTAGGGTATTTGTTTTTGTACCTACGAAAAGAACACAGTTTCGTCAAACTTAAATTTGGTGAACGTGCTTGGATTATTATAATAATAACAATAATAATAATCACAATAATACATACATTGCCAAAAAAGTGGATAAGTGTAGCGATGTAATTCGTCTTGTGATTTTTATAGACTTTCAACCCCGATCGTATACCATCGTACGATGTCCCCCGCATTACGTAAATAATGACTACTTTTAATGGCAGCCCGCAACTTTCGTCGGTATTCGATTATGTAGTTCATGCAAATATTTAGGCATCTCGGATCTAGGTCTACGGTCCAAAATAGCTGAACACAGGTAGTCCCCGTTTATTTCACCGCGTAATGCCGAAAAAAGGGAATTGATTGACATCTGAATGGTGCCCTCTCTCCCTCCACCATCACCCTCGCCCCCCGCAGTATTGAGAAAGAAATATATGGAATCCCGATTGTTCGACCGTCATTTAATAATGGCACTCGAATATGACGTTAACATAATTTCTTCGAGATTGGTTTTTGTGAAAAACAAATTAACCCTGACCCAAAAAATTTTTAAATTGGGCATTTATTACGTCTTGGCCGCATCCTGTATATAACACCACCGGTACCTGTTCATACGGGACTGCCACAACCGTTTTGGTTTTAGGCTCGAAGCACCCATACCTCTTTTAATAATGTTCAGAACAAAACATCCCATTTCTGTGGTGTAAACGACTCACTGTGTTACGCCACTGTCATGTTTTATAACAGTGGCGTTACACAATTAACATAGACAAGTGGTCAAATAATAATAATATTAATATGGACGCTGTCTATAAAGGCTGTTCCGAAATTGGGCATCTTTGATCGATTTTTGCGTATATTCCAAGCCCAAGTTTTATTAACTATCTTTTGAGGTTAACACTTAAAAGAGAAGTCACCGATCCTACTACACCTTTGTAGATCACGTCGTTAAAGTAAGTATCGACCGCCCCGTATTTTGTGGTCGGAAGTTATGATTGTCCAGGAGTGGCGGGGATGGTCGGGGGTAAGTTAAGGGGGTCGCTTAAAAGCCTGGCCAATTCGGTAATTGAATTGTCTCGTCGGATTGGTTCTCGCGCGAAAGTGAAAAACTTAACTGCCTCAGGGGGGTCGAAATGGAACGTCCCCCGCGTTACTTATGGACGCCGGTAATTGGATTTTACCCCCGCGGATGTATATTTACAAGTCGATAAATTTCTTTTTGCCCCCCGCCTGCCTCGCGAATGTGTGCGCGTCTCTTGAAGGGGTGGGGTTGACAATCAGAAAATCGACCATAGTTTTCTATTTCATAAAACCTCTACTGCTCGCTAACTGATTCTAGTAACCCTTTCTCGAAGTTTTCAGAATTCAGCACGCGTTTTGCTCTTGGACTTTTATGATCTCAAAAAAAAAGCGCTTAGAGAATATGATTTGTAGAAAGCTGAATCGGTCGCTACGTGTTTTATACACTTGATGATCAACGTCTAGGCCATGATGTACGATTATCCTGAGCGAAGCTAACAGAGGCAGATATCGATCCTCTGATTCAAAGGATGCCACGAAGTGTTGCGGAATGTGTTACTTGTAGGCGCAACTCATTATGGAAATTTTAAGAATTCCTTTCAATAAAATGTGTTTGAAAATGTCATCGATTTTTGTCCATATTGGGCGTTGCGATATCTACGTCGCAAAATATAGAACCATAAATCTTGGATATGACCTTTGTTGAATAAGAGGGTCGTCCCAGGAGAGTCTAGAATTAATTTTGAATTGTAGTGGGTATGCGTATTATAAAATTTATTTCGAGTTTGAAATGGTTTGAACCTATTGAGCGGTTGTCTCTCACTGAACGTTGCCTCTCATCAAGTTGTTTTAACAACCACTTTTAAATTGTTTTAATTTTATTGCTTGGTTACTAAGATGTTGATGCCGATTTATTACGACAGTTCACTGAGCTCGTCTACTTTTTAGCTAAAACGCTCGAACGAAACGAATCCCAAGACGTTATGTTCATTATGCCTCTGCTTCTTTTTTTTCTTCGTTACGATGTTTTGCTCCGGTCAACGTAGTTTTGATTAGTTTTGGTTACCCCGTAAACACGTGGTAAACACGAAAGAAACGTTGCACCCCTATCCGAGACAACCCCTTCCTGCCCCCTTCCCGATGAAAAAACACGACGACCATCAACAAAACCTGTTACCGGCTATATAAAAAAAAAAACTCCCGTCCGTCGAAGGGGTTGCACACGAGGGTGTTTTACATCGAATCTGTTAAAGTGTTGAAAAATATGTCTTAACAAGATCGCGCGACAACCCCTCGACCCGGGAATCGTTTCCCCCAAAGGAATATGTATATGCGCGTCATATGAAAAGGGCATTTAAAACCTGTTGCCCAAGACGAGCCCTTTCAATAAAGTCGAAACCCCTCCGGGGATGATATCGTCCGGGTGCGTTTTTTTTTTCGAAGGTTTAAGTTGAATAATGTATATTCAAGGAGTTGGCAACACTTGTCGGGGTTTATTACGTTAAGGGCGCACGATTACCCTTTTGTTGTCGCGCGTGCGTCATGATTTACTCTTCCGGCGTCGCAGGCAGTGTCGAAAGACCGAGGTAACTCCGGATGAAGAAGTAAGGACTTCTATATTGGAGCCCTTACAACGATTTTCGCAAGCAATCAGACATACCGGTTTGATATTTTGTGAAATTACTTCGATAACCGGTGCGAGTTCTCACTTATAAGCGTGACGTACTTTCTGTAATAGAAATTAGTCTCTCGAGAGTTGTTTTTCCAATATATTTAGCTGTTGTAAGGGATATATGATAAGAATAGGAGAAAAATTTATTTGGCTACGTCTCCTTTTCTTTTTGTAAAATAGTTTTTAATGGTGACAGGTTTGTTGTAAAATCTGATATTCCGATTTACCGTGACTTTTTGTTTTGTTTGTAAGAGAATACTTAGAAAGTAATATAAAAATTCAAATTGATAATAAAGTTATCTTAAGAGTCGAAAAAGCTAAGAAGGTTTGAGTATCGTCTTTAATAAAACTCACGGGAATCCTTGTTAAACGAGAACTTTATCAACGTATTGCATAGTATACATTTTCTACAACCACTAGAAACGTGACACTTTGCGCACGCATGATTGGTGCACAATTGGGTATTTTTGAGTTTCAAATAGAAATTAGAATTAGCCAATACTTAGCAGCATGTCAGACGTCTTTTACCTTTGTTGTAATTAAAATGTGAAAAAAGTCAAAACTAAACTTTTTTCAAAACTTATAATACGAAAACTTTTAGAGGAACAATAAAGAATGTAGATTCTACATTCAGGTACAAGGTATCAAACGTGGTTTCCTACGTATATGTCTCTTGGTATTTTAAATTTTTGGGTCTCATGATTCTTGCTGGTTATATTCGTTTCCTTTCAGGCGTCAAATCAAAGAAAATTTTGATTAGAGTATTATATTGTTTAAATTTGGATTTTTCTAGGATTAACATCTTAAAATTGTCTTACATTAGTTTTTCCTTTTCTGTCATTTCCCGTTGGCCAATAAATAATTGGATTCAGTTTGTTTTCAGTGGGCCAGAGCACGTCACCTTTCTACCACTCTTGCAAATACCCAACTTTATATTACAAAAACGATGCATGCGATCAAGTAGTCAGTCAGCTTCAGCTGCGTCATCGCAGACAGCGCTGCGCAATTGTTGGTTCTTTGATAGCTTTGGAAACGTGAAAACTGCGCGTCGCGGGCCGCCTTTAAAGAAAAAAACCGCCAATTAACATTCAAATTAATCGGAGAAATGCTAATATCGGCTCCGCGCAAATCTAACGAACTTGGTTATTAAATATTAAAATGCGAGAGAGGGCCATTAACGTGTGTATGCCTTTTAAAATTCAAATTCACGTCTGGGATATCGAGGGGATGCGTTTTTTTTTTT